GACATTTATTTTTATTACAAAGAGGCCATTATCACCTTTAAGCTTTATTATTCAAATAATAAGATCTAATAATTGGAATATATTCCAAGTTCGATTTTTTAAAAAAATATTTGAACTTTTTTAATTACAATATGTGTCCAACTTTAAATCTAACAACTAAGAGTAGTTATGGTGTGGCTTGTATAAGGCCGAGGCCCTAAACAATCAAAGTAAGCCGCACCTTCAAGTAGTTTCGAAATATCATGTTTCAGTATCATAAATCTTTATGATGGTCTAAAAATTTATTTTCATCTCTGATTATAAAATTTAAAGATTAAAAAAAAGAAAAAAATTATATAAGGTTGCAACCTTAAAATGTAGAATTAAAGATGCACCTCAAAAATCCATCGGAAAAGGTTGTTTTAATGTTGAAAAACCTCTATTTGATCATCTCGAAATCGAGATGTATGAAAATGAAAAAAAAAAAAGAAGATTTTAAGTGTCAGAAATAGTGCATCTTGCAGCACATTATCTAGACCGCCCATTTTCAAGATTTTCATGTGTTTATAGATCTACTTGATTTTAACTATTTTTTAACTTCAGAATTTTATAATTAGATATGAAAATAGATTTTGAGATAATCTTAGTAATATTTTACAGCAAAATTATATGTTATGATAAAATTTGGAGTTGCGCCTTAATTGGATTGTTTAAGGTTGCAATCGTATAGAAACTACAAATCGAGGAGATCTATGAACACTTGAAAATCTTGAAAAACCGACGGTCTAGATAACATATTATATGGTACATTGTTTCGTAGGCTAGAACTCTATTTTTTGTCATTTCCATATGTCTTGAGGTCGAGATGATTAAATTGAAGGTTTTTCAGCATCCAAACAACCCCTTTTAGTGAATTTTTGAGGTGCGCTTTAATTTGATTGTTTAAGGCCTCGCTCTTATATAGACTTTTCCCTATTTGAAATACCATGCATGCTTTCTCGAATGATGATTCTTTGCGTGGTCTAACCAGCTTCTCAAGTGCACCAAAGGGAAGGGAGTTCCAAATCGACAAGAAAAGTCACTCTACTCTTTTTGAAACTTGGACTAAAAGGATTTACCTACTCTTTTGAAGACTTGGACTAAAACGGTTTGGTATGAAATTCATTCCGTTTTTCACACGAAAACGAGACAAGGAAATATGGGTTTAATCGCTCTTCACATTATTCAAATCCCTCTTTGCATTATTTAAATCTATCTTAATCGCTCTCTCACACCCAAAAACTCTTTTTCGAGTGGGACACCTTTTGACAACTATGGTCCTGCTGTATCATACTATACAATTAATCTGTCAACCAAAAAGATTTATTTGAGAAGATTTTGTATTCAAAATTTCGAGAACCACCTAAAAATCACTCGATGTTATGTTCAAACGAAAAAAGAAAAATTTGAATTTTGGTTTTTTTAATACTCTTCAAATTAGACTGTTTCTATTTAATATCGAGGCATTATTTTATTCCAGACCACAGGAAAGTGATATAGAAACTTTTTATATGGATTGAGAAGGCTAGGTCCCCAAAATTTGAGGTCTTAAAAAAATTCTTAGGTTGAAGTTTGCCCTCGGGAGTAAATAGGCGGCATGCTCCCTTGGAAGCCCCAAAGCTTTTGGTCCATATAATTTACAAAGGAGCAATGATTTCATGCAACCGTTGCATACTAATATGATGCAACAATCTTAAAAAACCATCTTATGGCCAGTTGTTTGATCCAAATTTTGAAATATACACTCTTTTAGCCCAATTAACATAGACCGTTCATTTTGGTGAGATGCTTAGATCTAGGCCTTAGAAAGATTTTTTTCATTCCAATTTTTTTGGATGGCTTTATTATCATTAGATGAACAATGTTAAAAAATAAAAAAATGATTTTGAGTTTATAGAGGCTAAGATCTTGAAAATCACAAAATGAATGGTCTAAATTCATTTTTGGAGAAGACTCATTTTGACCATATCTAGTGTTCAATTTGAACTTTTTTTTGTTTGGGGATTATTATTGAGATGAAGAGAGAGTGTACGCAAAATTTGGAGTCATACAAATATCCCAAACATGGTTTTCTAGAAGTGTCGTTGTATTATACTATGATACAACCATTGTATTGGATCATTGCTCTTTACAAAGAGGTTGATTATTAATTGTAGTTGTACACCATAA